TCGGGCCCTCCAGGAGGGGCAGGGTGCAGACCGGGGACACGCAGCGTGTCAGCGAGGCCGGTCGTGGGCTTGCCTGGGACAGACAAGTAGGGAATGCTCGGAACGGGTGTTTCTGCCACGTGTTGAAGCGGAGGGGCCCGAGGTCCCCACCTGGCCTGCTCCACCCAGGCGGACCAGAGGGGGGACAGACCCCACAGCGCGGCCCCGGCCGTTCCTGTGGGTGCCGTCCCTTCGGCATCACGCACACGTGTGCTCCTGGACACGGCACGGGAGCCAGGCTCAACCTATCCCGATGTGCATCCCTTAGGTTCCCAGAGGTGTAGACGGCCAGGGTTTTTGCCAGCACTACTGTGGAAAGGGTGCCCCTTCCAAGGGGGTGAGGTGGACACCTAAACCTAGACCCTCTGGCCCTCTCTGTCCCCCCAGGAGGCCCATCAACACCAGTGCAGAAGAAAGCAGACAAGACAACAGAGAGCCCCCCCCCCCCCCCCCCCCCCCCATCCTCTTGTCGACTAGGCTCCAGACGCCTTCTCAACTGGCACTGGCCCAAGTCCCCAGACGAAGCCCTGGGATGTATCTACGGGACCGTTCACCTGGCAGAGGTTCTGGGCCTAGGTGCGGCGTGGACACAGACCAGGCGAATGGGTGACATTTAACATTCAATCTGGGAACCACTGCCCGGGACGAGTGAACAAGCCAAGCCAGAACCCTTTTGGCCGGAACGAATTTGAGCAGATGTTCCGTCCGTGGCGGCAAAGTCTTCGGGCTCGGGTGAGCGTCTCTTGGCCACTGAAACTTCTCTAGATTGAAATCCTGAAGAATCGGTAAAGACCTGAAACCTTTAAGAGATCGTGTAAAAGCTGCTACGGATGACGCTTTGATGACTTAACAGTTACTGGCCAGCACTACAAATCCACAGACAAATACCCCAAACCAATCTGTCACAGCTGCAGGGTTAGCCGTCCTCACACCCCTTTGAACCGGGACGGCCTCTAAAGCAACTTCTGCAACGGCATCTGGTCTCCGGCAGCTTTCTGAACACTCGCAAGGCCCTGTTCCTTTCCCTCTCATGTTCACAGGGTTAAGGAAGTAGGTTAAGGAACCTGGGCTAATAGCCAAGATCAGTGTTAACAACAGTTATTAGCTACAACTAAAAGGAAAATAAGATGGTTTTCATTCATGTTAATAAGGCATTTATTTGAAAAGACAAGTATAACATGCTCAGACGAGTTTATGTATGATCGCTAACATTCACACCCGTTACGTTTACAAGCACCATTTAAAAGTGAATTCCGTTCATTAACTGCAGAATTTCCTGAAATTCCTACAGATACGTAAACGTGAACAGCTACGATTATCAACTCAACAACACCCTTCTTGGTCTGCACTTCTGAGCTACGGCTCCCATTCTGGTGTTACAAACTTGGCAGATGGCAGCCGTAGACCGTCAAGTGATGCGGATTTCGGTGTTTTTTTGTTTTGTTAACATTTATTTATTTTTGAGAGAGAGAGAGAGAGAGAGACAGAGCATGAATGGAGGAAGGTCAGAGAGAGAGGGAGACACAGAATCCGAAACAGGCTCCGGGCTCTGAGCTGTCGGCACAGAGCCTGATGCGGGGCTCCAACTCATGGACCTTCGCTTTTGTAAATGGATCACAGCCCTTTGACGGAGTGAACTCTCCCCCATTTAAAAAAAAAATACAGTAAATGAATGAAAATGCAGATGCTTTCAGTAAAAACAAACTGTTCCTGAACAGGGTAACAATCCAATTTTATTCTATAACAAGCAGAATAATGTCTCAGTTGCAAAACAACTCGTAACGTTAATATAGGTTACTGACCTCTTAAGAGTCTTAAAATGTTTCTTTGGACAGAAATTTAAAACTTTTCAACCATCTTCTAACCCCTATACCACCTAGCCCCAAAATGAAATAAAAAATTAGCCTACTTCTCCACAGAGTCTCATACAGTTCCCACACCTTGTACAGGTTATTTAATGGCAGCTTTCATCTCTAAAATAGATCAGATACCCAAATAAAACCCCACCTTACAGTTCTAGTGAGCTTCCTTAAATGAAAATATTTCAAAAAGAAGATAATTAACGTAAGGCTTACAAAGAAGGACTTGCTCACTCCTGAAAGTACTTTTCAGTAAATCCCCACTTTTCAAATAGTCTAAAAGTCTGTTTATAATACAAAGCACCTTACCCATATCTTTCTCCAAAACAAAAATCCTCACACTGTAGCTGAGGAAACAAACAAGAGAAAATATAAAATTTGAATTTTTACCTATAAGCCAGTCAAGTAGCAATGCTAGAAATTAGACTCCAGACCTAATTCCTTCCCCAAGTTTCATCTAGAAAGATAACAGCTAAAAGAAATAAAAGGCTTAAGAAAAGCCCGACGTTACATTCCCAACACAGAAACCGCTGTGTGTCGTCCTCTGGTGGAGGTCAGAGGTAGTACAGGCGGTTGGACAGTGACAGGTTGGGCTCCCTGTGAATGCTCTGGCCCACGAGGAAAGCCAGTTTGTGGGCGTACTGACAAGGAGCCGGGACCCGGATGACGCCCTTTAGAGGAAGAAACACAGGGCCTGTTACTCTCAATCTGGTGTGCATGACACATGTCAGTGTTAACCATAAAAGGCCTTTAAAAACCCAGCAACTGCCTTCCGAGTCTCGCTGAAGTGAACGAACACACTTACCGGCCAGTTGTAATAGACGTGACACAGCTTGTACGTCAGCCTCTGTATGTGGTCCGGCTTCAGGCCGCTGTTGTCGTAGATGACATTGTAGTGTGTGGGCGAGACGCTGCCGCTTCTCACTGCCTGGCTCACGATAAAAAAGTCATACCTGCAAGGACAGCAGAAAAACCACACGGACGTGAGGCGAACGAGAGCTGAAGCGGACGGCGAAGGGATCCCGCGCACTGACGTGACCTCCTCATTCAAGACAGAGCGCGCCTCCTGAAGTCAGAGACTGCGGTTCGCGGACCATCTCGGAGTGCTTATGTGCGAAGGATGTTCAAGCTGCCACTACTGCCTGTATCTGAGGTCTCGGTCACTTCGGCACCCGGCGGGGCTGCTTCCATGGCGGTGAACACGGGAGCTCAGGGGAGGACGGAGCCGTAACACGGGCCCGGAGAGGCAGCGACGGTGGGGGTGAGTGGAGGAGGTCTCATTTCGGGCTCTGCGGTTTCCAAAATCTGCTTTCACCCCAGGACCTTTCCCCCTCTTGCTGTTCCCAGTGCTACTTGACAAAAATACACTTAATGTTACTCGTCGAGGATAAAAAACAAATTTTAGACTAGAGCGTCCGAGGACATAAGCACAATTCGTTCAGGACCCAAACGGTAAAGCAAAACCAAGGAGTGCAGCATAAAGGGACAAGACGGACAACAAAACATCAGTCCAGAGAGGCTGTTACCGGACTTGAAGTGGATTACGTGTGCAACTTGCTAGGTCCGCTGAAAACTACAGAAATTATAAAAATCAGAACTGATCTGTAACACTGTAGTGTTTCAGAAGAATGAGGGTTTCAGTGACAAATAACCTGCCCCAAACAACAGAGAATTCACACCAGAGCTGGAGTCAAAATCTCAGTTCCCAACACAGGCAAGTCACCGTCCAGAGTGCTGGCAGCCGACACCGACTCTGGTCTAGTCCTTAAAAGTGGACCTCTCCAGGGGCGCCTGGGGGGCTCAGTCGGTTGAGCATCTGACTCTCGATTTCAGCTCAGGTCGTGATCTCGTAGTTCGTGAGCTCAAGCCCCAGGTTGGGCTCTATGCTGATGGTGCAGAGCCTGCTTGGGATTCTCTCCCTCCCTTCCATCCTCCCTCTCAAAATAAACAGAAACGTTTTTAAAAGTGGACTTCTCCAGGTATGTCAATAGCATGATCAGCTAAGTTTTAAATAGCATCTAATAAAAGTAATGAAATGTTTTCATACTTCTTAATTCAACTTGGATTTTACCCAATTTGTTTATATCGGCTGTCTTCGGGTCCGTGTTACCCCCTGAGCTCTGGTTACCACAGCAGGAATACCTTTACTAGAAAGTACCATGGGGTCATTCTGACTGCTTAAGGGATCTTGCAGGAAAGGAACCTAAGTTAGTATCTTAGCTATTCTTTCTCAGCGGACACCCCCCACCCCCCGCCAGTAGTAGAATCCTACTGAAGCACTGCCACGATCCAAGGTCACACATTCATGGTCGCTTGACAGAACTGAAACCTGTATGATCGTTTATCCACACGAAGTTAGCAGAAGAAACCCTCCTGTACCGCAGTTTATACAGGAGCAGCACACTAACAGCTTTGCACCTAGGCCTGCACTTGATTCTGGTTAAATCTAACTTTGGAATTTAAATTTGGTTAAGTTTATTTTTGAGGGAGACAGAGCAAGTGGGGGAGAGGGAGAATCCCAAGCAGGCTCCACGCTGTCAGCACAGAGAGAGCCTAACGTGGGGCTGGAACTGACAAACCATGAGATCATGACCTGAGCCGAAACCAAGAGTCACTGCTTAACTGATGGAGCCACCCGGGCGCCCCAGATCTGCCTTTTGAAAAAGCGCCAATACGATGAAACAGAACAGTCCCAACAGCGTGCTTTCCCCGAGGAGGGGCTAACCTGGGCCGAGGGAGGACCTCCCACTACCCACAGGACCTACGGGCCAGGCGCCCAGCCGCACACAGGGCTTTCCCAGGGGCCAGCGGGCTTCAGCACTGGACAGCGGAACACTGTGCGCTAATCTCATTACCACGTGCCACTCAGGTCCTACTTACTAGCTTATTTTCCTAGGGCAAAGTGTAGCCCAGGTTGCATAAAAATGTTACTCAGAAGCCACTTTTCTTACCTGTGCTTGTGTTTCAGATGAAACATTTTGACCTCTGGGTAATTAAAAGCATTACAGACCTAAAAATTTTTACTGAGAAAACAATCTGAAGACACAGATGTGAAAGAAAAGACAAAAGCAATCTACAGCAGCAGTTCTAACGTCTCTAGATCATTAGTGCCGCAGACAAGAACCCTCTTCCCCCAAAGAAAAACTGCACAGAAACCTGTTGACCATTTCAGACGCAAATAAATCGTAGGCTTTAGTAACACTATTGGATCAAAGTAATCGGGGACTTTAGGATTCATAAGAAATAGAAGAAAAAGTAACAGGCACCTGGGTGGCTCAGTCGGTTAAGCATCTGACTCTTGATTTAGGCTCCGGTCCTGACCTTGTGGTTCAAGAGTTCCAGCCCCGTGTCAGGCTCTGTGCTGACTGTGGAGCCTGCTTGGATTCTCTCCCTCCCTCCCTCTCTGCCCCTCCCCGGCTCGCTCACATGTGAGCTGCTCTCAAATGAATTAAAAAAAAAAACATAAGAAAAAGTAAACGAGTTAAAGTGGATAAAGCAGAAAACAATGTTCAGAGAACACTACACAACTTACCACTCTGGTCTGGTAACTTCCACATCAATAACTGTTCCAGGAAGTGGGTTTTGAAGTCTTCCTCCAGACTGAGCAAAAAATCGGGCGTTCACTCGTTTTTTCACCACAATTACTGTTAGTCTTGGGCTTAAAACATGACGACGATGATGATGCAGATGCGGATGAATGTAACGACACCAAGTTAGCCACACTCTCAGTCAATCAACAACCCACTCATGTGGCTCTAACCAGAACCCCACCCCCCCCCAGGGCAGGGCACCGATCCAGGGTGTGAGGGGACAGCGTGCATGTGCCCGGTGTCTAATAAACAGGTAAGCACATCATCTGCCTATCACAATGAAACACTAAATTTGGCACACAGTTCGGAGCCTCTTCTACGTGGAAAATAGGACCTCGAGTCTAAAATCCCTGCTAGGGGGCCTGGTGCGAGCAGTGTCCGAGTGCAGCCTAGCATTACCAGTTCACGACGAACAGGGGGTCCCTGTCTCCGTCTCCCTCCCGGGGCCCAATCACCCCTCAGCCCACCCCACGGCAGCAGAGAATGTGCCCTCTGCGTCTCCCCCAGTGAGACTCTCTGCTTGGTTTTCCCGCACCAGGACTGAGTCCCTCTCCCCGAGCGTCCGGCTCTGCATCCGAGGAGGTGTGCTGGCCCCTAACCTGGCCTTGGATCCCCGCAGGGCAGCCCTTCAAGGGCAGCACGTGCGGCTTGACTACTTTCACACTTTCTCTACCACCTCCAAGGCCCACGTCGAATCCAGCGTTTGAAACACGGAATACGTGAACTGGTGCATGGAAGGCACTCGGGACCCTGCTGGCATGGGATGGACGTTTGATAAACAGGACAGTTATCGATGCCTCGGTTTCCCCTGTGCCCTTTTCCCAACCAGAGCACTGGCTCCTGAAGAGCCTCAGTACACTGGATTGCAAACTCTGGGATGCCACGGGCTTTACGTGCAGTGGGATCTGGAACGTTTGGCTTGGGAAGGGGGTCCAGAGTACACTGTTGGACAAATGGTCAAAGAGACCCCGAAATGAGAACTTCTGTTCCGTGGTAAACCTAATTTCACTCCTTCCTGGTAGCAGTAACTAAACAGACAAGGGGCAGGGAGGTGATGTCACTTCAATGAACAGAAGGTATTTTTAGAGACACCACCCTGCTGCCCAGTTACTGCGGCTCTGGATAGAACAAAGCCAGTCCCAGGAACCTAAGGCAGGTGGGTTCCGGCCCTCTGACATCACAGGAAGCGATTCAGCAAATGTCACAAAACAAAGTCGTAAGGATGAGGTGACATTTTGATTTCTTCTTCTGCCAAATATTCTAAGTCAGCTAATCCATCATGCATTTTTATAAAGTTAACATCACCATTTCAATCAAAACACAAATACTGTGATTCTAAGAATAATTACGAATATTTACATCCAAACTGCATTTCTTCAAAGTGAGGAACGACTCTCGGGTATTACTTTACCTCACACACGAGTTCTCCACCATTTATGGAGTGCGTATCGGGTACCGTGTCAAGTACTCTCCTTTATTCCTTCTGACGACCCTGGCTGGTCGCCTCCCCATTTCCCAGATGCAGCAGGTGAAGCTGGGTGGAACCTGGCCCTGCTCCTGAGACACCCTGCACTCGGTCACCTCTCCCCGCAGCCACCACGTCCTGGCACAACTCACAACGTGGCTCCAGTCCTGTGGCAGCTGGTCAGGCTCGTGCGGCCTCGGCGTGAAGTCCCCTCCCCCACACCCGTCTAGCCCATCCCCGGAGCGGGAGCCGGCAGGGGTCCCCCCACCCCACCCCGGCAGCCACCCTGGGCATGACACCGCCCCGGGCAGGACCCGGTTCACCGACTCCCCTCACTCGGGCTCCGGGCTCCTCTTCGAGAGCAACTTCTGCTGCTCCTTCTGGGAGCCAAGCCCACAGGACTCGAAAGACTCCCAGCAGCAGAGCCCCAGGCCCCACACGGCCACAGGGTATGTCCCCAAATCCCAAACGACATGCAGCTCGAGGCTGTGAGATCAACTTGCACCGCTGCGTCTCCTCCTTACTTCCCGGAAATTTCCTTTCCCCTCAGTGTGAGA